TCTTTTATTAGACCAGCTGAACAGTTGGAGAAATATATCTTAGCAAGTTTTTGGGTTTAAAAACCCTTCAACAGGTTGAGGAAGCATCTGCAATTGGTGTGTGTGCTCTTCCTGGATGGAATGAACAGAAAAGAAGTCAGAGACTGGTATGCAGGCAAGAAAGCCAGTCAATGAAAATATAAATTGAGGCATCAGGGGGTGAGGGGTCCTGAGGTGGTCCTTTTATAGAAAACAATGGAGATGACTGTATTTAGAATGCCAGTTGCTGTTAAGATTGGTTACAACGAGATTTTCCACCATTGCCATCACCAAAGAGAGCATGGCTGAGCGAATTTCTTTACGAAAAGAAGGCTCAGTGAAGGCAAAGCCAAGGAAAAGGCCATGGCTTTCCTGAACCCTCTAGAGAGGCCTTGCTATAGTTATTAACACTGTCAGATCTTTGGGGTAGGAGCTGTCTACTCCTCTGTGTACAGTGCCTTGCACAATGGTGCCCTGTTCCTTTACTGCTCTTAGGCACCACTCGAATAAGCATTACTAATAATCATACACAGGCCTTGGTTTCACCCACTGAGAAACATCAGGATTTTCCTGGGTAGAGACGAGAGAAATCTTCCCACAAGGTTAATTTTTGTGTTGATTTTAGAGGTCTTTAAGAGGAGGCTTGACTATTATCTAGCTGGGGTCATGTGAGCCCAGTTTTCTCTCTTGCCCAGGGCAGGGAGTTGGACTAGAAGATCTGCAAGGTCCCTTCTGACCCTACATCTATGAATCTATGGACACTTGCTCTTCGGTCTAGTGAGAAGCAAAAAGGCTTCACTTTAACTGCAGCAACCCCGTATTAGGGGCACAAAAAAGCCTGGCAGCCTGAATCACAGCCTGCATACAACAGCAGGCTTTCCAAACCGGTAGCATCTCAACCTAAAACCCTTTGAGTGAAGTGAGAGAAACTAAGATGGCTAATGCCATCTGCAGCCTGGGTCTATTCCAAGCAGTTCACCTCTTTGTACGGCTCCCTCCCAAGACAAGGAGCAGAAAGCTTCATTAACTTGTCTCTTTATGAGTTCTCCACCTTTTGGTGCTTCCTGGTGTTTATCTGCAGCTCCTTACTGCCTCAGCTACTTAAGACTAAGGCTTAACAAATTATGACAGACAGAGAAATAGAGGCTGCTGAGGTGAACCTCTAATCTCATTTAACTGCCAGAAGGTTGCACTCTGCCACTGACCTATGTCCAACCCAATTACCTCCATTCTAAAAAAAAGGTTTAAGGGGCTTGCTGGCAATGGGACAAGAGATCTGGTTTTCCCCCTTGAGAATCATTAGGGTTAGTGGATATCAAGCTATGGAACTATTTGCTAGGCGCTGACTGCTCTGTACTGTGCAAAACGCACAATGCAGTAGTGACCAGACAGTGCCTTGATACTACTTCACTGACTTCACCTGGAGGAATTAGGTAAATTCAGAAGACTTCAAGGTTCCTATTCCATGTAACTTAGCCTAACTCAATAGGCAAGACCTGCTTGGCAGTGATGTCAACTTGGATTTCTGGACACATCCTGGGAAGCAAATCATTCATGGAACAGATAAGCTACAAGGAAAAAGGAAGCATGGGGACAAGGACAGGACAAAGAGACCAGCAGTCAGGATGGAAGTTTGGGCAGTGTAAAGGGAAAAAGAGAAATAACAGAAGGCAGCTCTGGAAATGCTATCTTTTTTCTTTGGTTTATACAAGTGGTGCCCAATCTTTTGGCCCTGCAGGCTGGATAAGTGGCATGGGGCCAGTTTGCAGGTCAGATCAGGCTCTACATGTCAGGATCAGGCCCCATGCTGCTTCTGCTTGGCCCTGTGCCACTCTGTACCCTCCTTCTCCCTGCCCCCCCCACTTTGTCCTGCAGTGCCCCACACCAGCCCGATTTGCGCTGCCTGTTCAATCTAGCATGCAGGGCTATGCTGTCTGGCTTGCAGGGTTCCCCCAGGTTTGTAAATATGGCAGCAGGAATGGCAGTTAGCTGCCACTGCTTTCCCACTGCCAAATTTTCAAACCCACGGGGAACCCGGCGGGCTCAATCTGGCTGGTGGGCCAGGGGTTGAGCACTCCTGCTTTGAAAAAATCCATGACAAAGTGGAAAGCTCAGAAAATTCAGTCTCCTATCAAGAGCACTGAAAAGTTCTTTTGTGGTAGGATTACTGCTTAGCCTAACAGAAACTATGCGCTGTGTTTATCCATTTAACATCCTTGGTATTACAGCTCTTTCTGACTTCTGTGTTCATGCAGTCACTGCTGCTAGACCTGTGGAAGGGAAACGGTCCTTCTCTTGAGAATGGTCTCGGCTTTAGGAAGGTGACATGTCAGAACCCTGTTCTGTAACCAGAAAGGATGAGTTGCTCCTGGTAGAAATGCAAACCCAGCTCCACACTGGAGACTACCAGTAGAGAACACTGAACCCGGAATGAGCTTGGCCAGGTTTGGAAGCAGTGAAGTCCTGCCCAGGTATGGCTGTCACTTTTGGCCCTGGGCAAAATGATGTAGTAGGGAAAGCTGTGCATTTCGTGGGCTTTCCTGTCTGCCTTTTTGCACCTCTATGTCACAGGAAAAAAAATCTGTGCTGGAACATAGGATTTGCCTTAAAGAGGCTGAGAAAGGAACAGAAACAGTACCCCCCCCCAAATGCCTTAAGCTCAGCATTGTTTAGTTTCTGTACGTAAGTCTTGCTTGTCTCTTTTCCTCATGCCACCGTATTTGGAATAGTCCCTTCCTCTTATGCTGCTAGTGACCTATTCTTTCAAATGCTTTCCCTTCTTCTATTCAGCCTTCCCCGCCTTAGCCATTCTCTGATCCCACTCCCATACCTGCCCACAGCTGGATTAAAATGTACCACATTCAATAGGCAAGAGGTTGCAACCTTTTGGGCCCTGCTGCTTCTTTTCATCAAAGCAGCTTTGCCAATGTCTTTCCCCTGCAAAGTTACACCTCCCCTCAGCCTCTTACCCCACACCCCACTCCCAAACTATTCTCAGATGGTTTGATAGTGTCACACACTGAATAATTTGCCTGTTGGTTGTGAACAGGACTGTGATGTCTGCAAGGTACTGTGTACTCCTTCAGACATAATATCACAATTATCACTGTGGGAAATCCAGTCCACTCAGAATAACATATCTAATTACTTGTTCAGAAAAGTTAATTTTTTGGGCTGATTCTGAATGGGGCTAAAAATCTGCAGTTCCTACAGAAGACAGTGATGCAGGATTGGGCTCACTGAAATCAGTCATCTCTTTGGATCAGGCCCTTGATCTTTGAGCACCTTGGTCATGAGTGCAAAATCCTCACTAGAGAGACTGGCTCAGCTTGTGTGCTTAAAAGGAATGATAACAAAAAGCCGCCTTTCCTGTTGCAGATGTCAAAGAAACAAAAATAATAACAGTCCTCTGCCAGCACTAAAGAATCCAGTGCTAGAAGGGAGTCAGCCGTGGGATCTGCAGGTACTGTGTATCTCCCTGGCAAGCAGGAAACTTACCATGTTTCTGAAATGTCCAGGAGAGACAGGGTGCTTTTGTGATAAAGTTAATCATTTCCTAATGCTAATAGCATGAGAAGCAGCCAGAAAAGCACAACAAAATCCAGTGCTCCAGTCCTGTATGCTTTGGTGCCGTTCCCTGCTTTGCTGGGCTTCCTCAGCTCACCAAGCAGTGCAGGCCTTTGCTTATAGGGGCTGTTAATTCTCCATGGAAGTGTGCAATGAGGGCTAAAAACGCTCTGCTTTCCCTGAAGCCAGTGAAAGCTGTCAGCAAAAAATTGAGGATTGAGCCTTTCTGGACTCGGGTAATAGCCTGGGCTGGTGAGTGAAGAGGCTTGTGATGTGCTCAGAGCAGCAGGCCTATGCTCCCTTTCTCCCCTGTGCACTCAGGAGCATGGGGTGGCTGGGGAGCCCAGAGGTGTCTTGTTCTCCCTGGTTCCATGGCAATGCCCAGGCCTGGGAGCTGGGGCCTGAGGGAGCTGCTGCCATGTGCAGTATGCACTCTTCAGGGCCTGGATAAAATCGAATATTTCTTGGAACTATTTTAATGAGCACTGCACTTGGCACCTCCTTTTATAATGAGGAGCAGGAAAAGCAGGCAGCAGCAGTGTGGCATTAGAGGGAGCCAAGGATGTGGACTGGGCAGCCGTTACTGTGGAGGGCCCAGACCCTGACAAGGATCCACTTGACAGGAATCGGGGAACTCTATATATGTCTCAGAAGCTGCGCTCATGGCCTGGTGGGCTTCCCATCTGTATCTGCAGGTTTTTAGCACAGGAAAGTATAATATTACCCTTTAGTATCAGGCTGAGAATCCCCGCTAATGAGAGAAGCAGAGATCTCTTGGCGTCCAGTCAGCTAAACTCCCATCTGCTGACCAGTCTGTCCAAGTTAGACACGTGACCAGTGTGCTGCTTGCTGCTTTTCTGAGTGGAACAGGAGTCGCCCAAGCCCTGGCTCACACTGCTTGTCAACAGAATTCACCTGTTGCCGCTGGTCCGTAACCTCCATGCGCACATTTTGATGTATGTTGACAAAATCCAGCCTTTCTACAACCTGAGTACAGCCGCCACCCAGGTGACACCTGCCCCGTCTGATCAAATGCTGCCAGCAAAATGCCCATAAACATGCACTCCAGCAACACAGCCATGTTGGCAGCTGTAAGCCCAAAGCTCTACCCCCGTGTGCCAGGTCTTCTGCTGGGAGAAACCCTTGCAATGAGAGAGTGCATTGTTCATGGAAGCATCCCAGTGCTCTCATAGCAACAACAGCAGCTAGGAGCTGGCAAAAGTTGTGCAGGCAAAACATAGTCCTACCCTGTGACTGCCAGTCCCTTGGTTGCTGCCATCCTGAAGACAAGAATGGTTTGTTAATGCTAAAGTGCAAAATTGCATCCTAACCACGTGTTGCGGCTGGAGGGATGTTGCTTCTTGCCCTGGAAGAGAGTGAGGGCAGGCCATATGACTTTTGGCCAGGAAACACCAACTCTCAGACTGTGCTCATGCATCATGGTCGGAATTTCTATCCCTCACTCTCTCTCCTGGTTCCTCTTCTCATCGTGGACACTATGCCTGAGCTGAGCTGGTTATGTGATGCTCGAGGAGCTGTGCCTACTCAGGCTTTCGAAATTAGGCAGAATGAGCCTGCTTCTTGATACTACACCATTAATCAAGTGGGTCAACTGAATTATTTCCACTCCACAGCTGAAGATGCCAAAGCACAAAGCAATGAAGGTTGCCCAGTGAGTTGGTGCCAGGCGTGGAGACAATATCATCTCTCCTGACCTGCAGAACCTGGCTGCCTCTCCTGAGCCCAATGACTTGTACAACCCAAACCATGCCCTTTTCCCTGAAGGTAAAACTGATGTGGTAGAAGAAACATCGTGGTTCACTGCTGTGCTTTCATCCATGTACTTGGCGCAAAGCACTGGTGATCTGAAACCAGAGAAATGCTATATAGAGCATAGCATGCTCTCCTGACAGTCAGATGCATGATTGACTCTGTCATGAGATTACGGTCTTGTGTGGCTTTGTTTCTGAGATAATTGTCCAGTATGAGAAGAGATCAGAGTACACAGCATGACATACAGTCCAGACTGCCTGCCTTTAATAACCCCCCAAAGCAAGGGTGGCTCCTTCTATTGCATTTTAATCTTATCTCTTGTTTGTTTCTGTACTAGCAGAGAAATGCCCTGAGTTACACCCAGCTGTTGAGCTTCTAGACCAAAGGCTACTGTTTTCTTATTCAAGGAACCAAGGGGTATTGGAGGGTTAAAAGGCTTGGCCCTGCCATGTGTGTTTAAAAAACAAGGCTGACTTTGCAGCCTGCTGGCTCCATCCTGACTCCATCCTGCTGTTAATAGAGGACAGAAGACCACTTAGAGCTTCCTTTTCACCCCATAACAAACAGCAAGTAGCCAGTCCCCCAGGCCTTCCTGTATCCCACACAGACCCCACAGCAGCATGCAGGCTGCCTACTTTACCAGTGCTAGAGATCAGCTGAGCTGGAGCAATCTGTGCAAACAAACTCAGCAGCAGCCACTGCCCTGGGCCAGTCTGAGGCAAGGAGTTATAAAGGACTAGCTCCTCTAATGATATGTTTACATTTAATCACTTGGGACCAGGTCTTGTTCCTGTTGGAGGCCGTGAGCGCTTTGCCCCAACACTCCCTGTTGTACTTCTTTGCCCTTGCCTAGGATCATCTGAGCATATTTTAACCTAACTAATTTCCTGTTGCTGCATTGGCAACAGGGTATTGGCAGTGCTGTTCTCCTTCCTGTTCTTTGCCTGTGGTGCATTGCAGGGGGGTTTCTTAGGCTGCCCTGTGGCTGTGGTGTGGGAGAGTAGAGGTTCCTGTGGGCCCTTTTAAAATGTAGTTACCTGTGAACACAGGAGACTGGGTTAAAGGCCCTGGGTAACTCTTCTCAGTCCTGTGTCCTTGGGGTCTATCTTGTTTTATGCCCCTGTCCACTTCTAGAGCAGGGGGGAAACCCTTTGGGCCAGCGTGCTACAAATTGGCCCTGCACCCTTCCTAAGTCCCGCTGTGATCCCCTTCCTCTGTCTCATCTGCTGCTTTTCTTCCTGTTTCCTACTTTGCGCTCCCTGCCCCATCTTCTGCTCTGCCCCATGCCATGTGCTCCCCGATGAAGATGCAGCTCTGTTTTCTGGTCCCTGCCCTGTGCTCCCTGTTTGATCTGCTGTTCTGTTTCTGCTCCCTGCCCAATTTCCTGCTTTACTTTCTGCTGCCTGTCCTATCTGCCACTGTGCTGCCTGTCCTCTCTCTGATCTGCTGCATGCCGTGCAGAAGCTGCCCATGTCACTTGTGGCACCTGTGCTGCAGGTTGGACACCCCTGCTCTTAAGGGTGTAATGATGACCATATGGGCCTCTCCCACTTGTCGTCCAAGTGTGGTCATGCAAGTACCTGAGCACATGGACTGCAAGGAGACAATGACACTAACCTCCTCCCAAAAGGTAGGAATATAGTTTGATGCAGGACCATGGTTTGCGTAAGCCAGTGGTTCTCAGCCTTTTTGAGACTCAAGGCTGCCCCTCGTTTGGCTCAAGTCCCCGCTTGGAAAATGCCAGCTCTTAGTTTTTTCTCATTTTTTAATTATAGAAAAATACTAGAGCAATTCTTCTGCTGCAGAAACTCAGAAAGCCCACAACAAGTCAGAATGTTTTTAACACTATGGATTCCCATTCAAAATCTCTGGCTTTATCTTGTGATTTGTGTTTGCATACCTAACAGTGCTAACATTGCATGGCACTCCACGGCACCTTTCAAAGGATCTCAAGCCACCTGAGGGTGCCAGGGAACCTTGACTGAAAATCACTGATGTAAACAAGTGAAATTGCTCCACATCCTGATTCATTGGCCTGTGCAGACAGGGTAACTAGCCCTATTTACCCGGCTTGAAGATGCCAGCTAGAAGAGCAGGTGGATGCAGGATGAAAGCATGGCCTGTGATGTTTAAAGATGGAGATGGTTATTTCTCCCTTTAACCACTTCTGGGGACAGAGATGAGCAGCTCCTGGCACAAAGGGGTTCTGGTCCAGGACTGGGCTCCTGGGTGCTGCAACAACACAACTAACAAATACTAATGAATGTGCTGCTGCTATTTGTCATGGGGACTCTGGAAGCTGTCATCCCCGTTAAACGCCTGTGACTTGTGCATGAGACACAGTTTACGGGAAGTTCCTTGTTTGTTGTTAGAACTCTGTATTGTCTGAAATCCATACTCAGTAATGCCCCGTTAGGTTCCCTAGCTAAAATTCAGGGTCTTGGAGGTCGCTCCTTTTAGGAGAAGCTGGTGTTGAAGTCAGGTGCCTTTGATGCAATCTGTTTATGTACCCGCTCCTTGACAGCAGAGGGAATTCAAGCCCCTTTCTGCCTGCATTCTCACTCAAAAGATCAACCTTTAGGTTTAACTGCTCTGTTATTTAGGCTGTGTCTAGGCTTCTTTCTCTGTCCTTTTTCATAGGCTTTTACTCTCCTCTATCCAAGCTGTGTTTCATCCACTTTTATGCCCTTTTCCTGAATAGTACCTGGTGGAAGTGTCCCTGCCTAGAGCATTCAGATTCCTAGGCTGGCTTGCATTTGCCTTTGTTTTGGGCAGTTTCTTACAGCTCCCTTAAACATGGGGCAGCAGTCCCATCTGCTGATTCCCAGGTCAGAGTGTCTTAGTACGTCTCAGGCTGGCTCAGAGTCATCTTCTGTTCTAATTGCTGGTTTCCATTGGACTCAGTGGAAGCAAGTGGTTGGGCCTCATTTTGTTGATAATGGAGCTGTGGTCAGGAGGAAAGCCCAACAGACAGGTATCTAAGGGAAACCCTTAGATGCCTCTGGTAGAATGGGATCTGGTATTTAGTTTTTCTCTCCTTTATCTAATATTTTGCTTCAGTAAGTAGAGTAGATTAAACTCTGCAGGGTTTGCACAGGAGATGGTACAGAAAATAAAAGGACTTTGTAATCATAGGTCTAGTCATCAAGTTGGATGTTTTCAGAGCATTTGAAATAATCATACTTTGATTG